CTCTCTCTCTCTCTCTCTCTCTCTCTCTCTCTCTCTCTCTCTCTCTCTCTCTCTCTCTCTCTGTGCAACTGGCTGATGGGCAGTCAAGCTTGTTCTTAAGATCAGCAATCGAGCTTCTTGTAAGGTAATAAGTGAAAAAGCCATTTCCCAATCATCGTGTTCATTCCACGCATATTAGGAGAGAGGAAAATTCAACTGAGGGCCAATTCTCTCCTAAGAATCCTTTAGTTTAATTATGGAGCACAGTACATTAAATGACTATAAGACATCCATGTTAGCTCTGCTATTGCTCTCAGTAGTGAAAGAGAGGAGACTCACCACTGACAAGATAGGGAAAGATGCTTTTGTGAGTTGAACATGTGGTTGAAAATTCAGTTTAATTGAACACCAGACCACTATGCTTCTTGTAAATGAACATCACTTTGCTGCTAATTTTGTGCTATTTTACCTTTCATTAAAAAAAGTAATTTAAGTTAAACTCAGGTGAACAGCAAAAAGCTCTTGATATTTTGAAGCATTTTGGAGCAATTACTTTGACAGGAGCCCTTGACAGTTAAATGACTCTGTTAAATGAATGTTATAGAAGACACATAATGATTTTTAGTGAAATATTGAATTTAACCACAAATGAGGAAAACCCAGTCATAAGCACTACAGTATATTTGAATAATAACATCTTGCTTATGAACCTCAAAAGGTTCTATAATTTCTAATAATCATGCAATCAACTAGTTAGCTGGTGGGTATGTTTTACATCTTGGTGTTTTCTATTCGTTTTTGGTCTGTTTTTGTTTTTAATCTAAGAAGTCAATAAGAAAATGTCAATATTGGTAGTACTTTCCTCTTAGATTTTGTGTAATGCTTTACAATTATGCAACTAAGAAGATAATGTTCTACAGATGAAGTCCTCTCCTTTGTTTTTCTCTTTTGTTCAGTGTGATTCTTTCACAGACTTAAAAGAAAAGAAAAAAATCAGCAAAATTCAAGAGCATGCTGACTGAGAATGTGTGAATTCATTGTATACCAGTGTTTCCTGAATCTGTGGAATTCAATATTCCTTTCTTACTTTGTGGATCAAATGTAAGATAGTATCAAGCCAAGCTTTTCCATGTTTTCTCATGACTAACAACTGAAATATGTACGGAAATAATAAAACTGGTACTGCTCAATTTCCTTTTTAAATTCAATTCCAATATAAGTGTGAGAGTCCCGGTGATGGTGATATTGGACTGATTATAAAATGCTGTTTTTTTTTTCAAAAGAAGAGGAGCTAGAAATTGAAGTAGATGTTAACCATGTGGGTGGAAACATTTGGACTGAAGAAATGAGTCAGAAAAACAGGAATGTTCTTTATCCTGTTTGCCTGGCAAGCTGGGGTGAAAAGTCGATGCTAATTGCACTGAGTGCAATACTTCCTGATTCTTCTATGTAGGTGAGACTCAACTACCCCCAAGCTCCCACTGCTCTCTGCATTTATCTTTATTCACCGATTGCCTATTTATACTCTAATTGCCTATTTCCAAGTCTGCTTCTCACTAGGTCTCTCCAAAAATTGTCTTTCCATCTTACACCCCCTGTATTACTGAGCCAACATGAGCTGTTCAATAAATGCACCATGAACAAATAAGCTTTCTGTTTCAGTTGACAATGAACTATGTGGGAATGCTAGTATAAATGGCTGGTACTCATGAAAGGAAAGGCCAGGTATATGCCAAACTGCCCAGAGCAAGTATTGCCTAGAACTTTGCTACTCAACCTGTGGCCCACAGCCTAGCAACATCAGAATGGCCTGGGAGCTCCCTGCAAATAGAATCTCAGACTATGCCTCATTTCCTAACTCTAAAGCTGATGCCAAATAAGAATGTAAGCCTTCTGTATGGAGATGTTTGGAAGCATTTTAGTTATATTATACAATGTTAGGATGTCTGAAGAAGTAATATTGGGCAATGGAGAAGAACATAAGCCATGGCACGGTGACTAAGGCAGAAGTTTGCAGAGAAAGGTTTGGAGTTCAGTGCTCACAGGTGAGGAACTCACTCATACCAGTTCCCTTGAAACTCTTGCTAGATACTTCTTTCCTGCTTAAAGATGCAGCTGCTCTTAATAATTGTCTTTTATCTATGGTGCAAAGAGAGTATTTATCGTCAGCATGCTGACATTTGCAGGCATTTTGGCTTTCTCCACTACAAATGTAGATGATTGAAAGGATATTGCTGACACCTGAATAAGAAATCCAATGACTCCTAGTTATGTAAATTTAATTATTTCCTTTAATTTTTTTTTACAGGAATCTTTTTTTGTTTTCTTTTCCCGAGCTTTAGAAAAGTCTTGGCAATTTTCATTTAAAAGAAACACAAGTCAGCAGTGGTTCACTGAACAGGCTGACACGCAATTTCGTAGGGGGCGGGGGAGAGGCACTGTGTCCTTAATCTAATTTGTGCTCTCAATTCCCAGCAAATGTATCTGGGGATCACAATGTATGCATTTATAAGGAGACATCTGTAATGCAAAGTCCAGCACTGCAATTCTCTGAAACATGGGTTAAAAATACAGTTCTTGCAATTGCCCAACAACATGATAAATCTGTGTACTTACAGATGTAGAAATATTCTCGGCCTGGCCTGAATTCAAATCCTAGAGAAAATGGCGTGAAGAGCTGGAACTTTTCTGAGAACTTCAGTGGTCCATTTGGAGAGTGAGGCCGGTTACATTCCCATCTCTTGAACCCTTTGGAAGTATGGTCACAAGCACTGTAGCCATCAAAGTTCACCATGTAGAGGACATAGCGCTCCGTCTTATCTTCTGGGACAGAGTCCTCATAGTGAGGGCAGAAAACATCCAGGTAGTCATTGATGCAGACGTCAATGTGGTAATCACCCCTCTGGAATCTGTTGGAAGAAGAAGCAAACAATGAGACAATTTATGAGAGAAAAAGTTTTCTACTGAATTCAGGGTTGAACTTGGAATAATTCTTCATTCAAAGGAGCTGGTACAGTAAGCGCTTGCTGAATGTCTTCATGATTGGGGCATGGTCTGAAGTATGGCATCCCCACATCCACGCATAAGTAAGCCATTTTAAAGAGGAATTCTAATATGTTAGGGTCAAAATACCTTACCAGAGCTTTTCTTTCATTAATAAAGTAACTCTCTTTCAAACTGATCGACTCTATGATTAGCTGTTCTTGATTTTTCTTTTATCCTCAAATCATATGTATAGAGAACAATTTTCATATTTCCTAGTTTAAGTTAATGAACATTTTTTGAATAAATGACTGAGCAAATTAAAGAACAGTAAATTATGAAATTTTTCTGTCAAAACTGAGGCCACCTTCAACTTCATATGCAAATTTAGAGAAAGAACTAAACTATTGGGAGAATTCATATCATACAAATTTAAAGTTGGAAAGAAAATTCCTAGAATACTCCCATCTTAGATAATACAAAAATCTAGGGCATAAGGGTGCAGTATTACTTGAACAAAACCTAGAACACATACTGGTTTCCAGTTCAATGTCTTGTAAATCTGTGAATGGCACAAACTTATTTTAGCTTTGCAAACTTAACAGCATTTACTTTTCCTTATTAAAGAAAAATTAAGCCATCTAAACTGAATTATTTTCTCCCTATTTCTTTTAATTTTATAGGTGATGTGTAGATATGGACTGGTTAGCAGAGACATCAATCAACAAATCATGTGACAACAGCAAAATGGAAATCCATGGAAATTTCATAGTTAAAATATATACTCATGTACAAGCTCTCTCTTTCTCTCTCTCTCTCTCTCTGTCTCTGTCTCTCTCTCTCTCTCTCTCTCACACACACACCATCACTTCAAATACCACATTATCTATCTTAATTATTTTAATGGAAATATTGAGGTTTAAACTCATGGCCTACTCTACTACTTGCTAGGCAGGGACTCTACTTCTTGAGCCACAGCCCCAACCTGTCTGCTTCAATTCTAATCTTAATAACATCTTTCCCCAATCAGGCAAAAAATATTTCACAGGACACAGTGATGTATGAAACAGAAACTGTTATGGGTACAACTTTCTCAGTCTAACATTATGGTGGAAAAGCCTATAAAACCCTCTTGTTTTTAGCTAGCAAAGAAATTCTTCCCTGAACCCTTAGAAAGGTTCATCATAAAACTGTGTTGCTGCTGAAATGCATGCTCATAAAGTCATATAATCTTCAACTTGGACAGTCTCAGCATGAACACTTCCCAGAGATGATGAGCTAGTCAATTCCATTTTTGGACATCTCTAAATGTTAGAAAGTTTCTTCTTATATTGAGCATAAATCTGCTTCTGTGTAATTTCTAGCTAGTGATCTTACTTTTACTGCCTGGAGTTACAAAGAACAAATCTAATTCCTCTTCTACAAGGTAGTCCATAAAACATTTGAAGATGTCAGCTTTGTCTCTCTGTATCCTTCTTTCTCCAGACATGAAAATCAGGTTGGGATGGTTCCTCATCATTATAGCTTTGTGACCTCTTCATGTCCTCCAGTTTTCTGGTGTATTCTCTGTAAAATGTAGGACCCAAGGACTTCTGGCAATCAGAAATTTAGGACCTTTGCTCTTCATGCTGCTAAATATTCATTGACAAAGTTGAGATTCTCTTCCTTGTGCCTATATTATTTTGTCTAAAAAAAAAGAGAAGGCACCATTCATAGTGAATAGACCTCGCTTTAAGCATTGGATGTGCTGTTGATTAAGCAGAAGACTCATAAATCATCCTGGGCCTCAGTTTCCTTACATCTTAGAATAATAATGAGAACCTGCCTTGATGTCTCACCTCACAGATGAGGAAACATGAACAACTCCCTATGAATGCAAATGTGATTTATCCATGAAGAATAAGAAACATTGTCAGAATATTCACATTTCAGTCAGAGAACCCTCAAGTAGATAACCACTTAAAAAAACCATGCAAGTATTTATTTCTCTATGTTTACAATGATCACAGGTTTACATTTTCTTCATTACTGGCAGACAATGATTTGTCAAGATGCAAGGAAAATACTGTTGCTCTTAAAAGATTTTTGAACATCAAGGTAACATCACTGCCAAAGTACAAAGAAAAGACACTGCAATGTTCAGATAAAAGGGTGCTGGGATATGAATCATGAGCACTCAAGAGGAGCCTGACAGCTCTGGATATGAGCCAGGCAAGAACTGCAGCAGAAGGCAATGCCCAGATGCACTTTATATTATTATATTATTATTATGGATTTTAAAGACATTCAAGGGGGAAGTTTTTTTCTTTCCCTAAGTGTCATTCATTTTAGCTACTACGAGCATTTGGCGCTGCTGAAAAGTGAAAACAAAAATTAAAACTGTCATTGCATTCTTTATTCTTTATTCTCTATATTATTCTGTATTCTATAATTCCTCTGATATATAACCAGAAAATATTGTCACAATTTTTGACACCTCAAGTTTAGTTATCTTTTTCCATCTTTTAACCCTGTTAATGTCACTAAAATTTTAATAAAGCAAACTGGATTTGGAAGACCCATTTAGCATTTGGTTGACCCTAGCTTGTAACATTTTATGTGGTGCGTGTAATTGCTCCAGTAATTAGTATTTACACCTTCCTATCCACTGACAAAAATGATAATTCACCATGGGGTCAATTTACACTTCTGTTTCAGAAAGCTTTAATTTGCATACATTTGTTTACTAATGTAAACTTCAAAAACCAGACAATATAAGCACACAAACAATGGCAAATGGAAGCTCATAAAAAGTATCTGCATAACTAAATCAAATACAATCCAAAGAAAAGTTTAAGATTAGATAGTCTAATAATATTCTCAATCATCTTTGCTGAGTATAAAGTATTGCCTAACCTTTCATTATCACTATCATTATTACTATGAAGAATCACAGAAGCCTGCCTAATGGTACAGAGTGCTCATTGTGTTACATTCATTTATTTCCATGACACTCCCATAGAATATACACTGTTATTGCACTTGATTAAAGATAAGGAAACAGATTAAGAACTCAAACAACTAATAAAAGGTGAAGGCTGAACTGAAACCAAAACAGTCTGATCTCAGAACTAAAGTTTCTCATTCCACTTTGTGAGAGATCAAGTCCTTAGACCAGCTTCATCTTATGTCAGAGGGACAAATCCCATTCTCAATGGAGTTTCAGTTCTCTGCTCCATTTACTGATGTAGCAAATATTTTGCTATTTCCAAGATGTATATGTGCATTATATATGTTATCATATGATAGCCATCCTCTTGTATAGTTATAATTCGTTTCTTTCTGCCAAGGATGAAGTTCAATTTTCACAGAAAAATAAGTAGTAGAGTTAAAATCTCAACTCCGGTGTCATATGGTTCTGCCCTCCTAACCATATGGCTCCAAAGCTTCTGCAATTACAGTAATTCCCTTCATATGGTAGAGCCCTCTTAAGGTTGAATGCCAGCAGGTTATCTGTGGATCACATGGACCTGGCAAGGACAGTCCTGCAGCAAGCCCACTCCCTTCCCACCAGGTTAGTCCTGAACTCTTAAAGTTGAGGAAATAGATCAACATTTAAAATAAGCCTCAGATGGCATGGTTAGTTTCTGAGTCATGAACATCATGCCAGCCTTTCACAGAATGAAGTGCTGCTAGGCTCAGCAGTCATTCACATACATTCACATAAAGGCACCTTCCCACCCCCACCCAATCAGGGAACAGCTCTCATGAGCATTCATATTTAAAAAGGAAATTCACATTTAGAAAGAATGATTCTGAATGCTAATATTTACACATGCCATGGGTGGCATAGTCACTTTGTAACAGAGTTGTAAATTTCTTAGAGGTTTTCCTGCAAATGTCTTCTCTTTCCTCCTTTTTCCTTAATTTCATCACTGTGTCTGTGAGTCTCACCTCTTGGAGATGACTGCATATTTTTTAACACCAGTAAAGATGGAATAATTAGAGGATAATCTCTACTAAATCATCACCATAGTTCCCAATGTAAAAACATGCATTCACCACACTTAGAAAAGCGATTGTGTTTGAGTCAAGCAATTGTTGCCCTATTTTGTCATAATGCAAATGCCTTAGGAGCTAGGAAACATCTCAAACACACATAGAAAGATGGTCTCTGTCCCTCACTGAGTTGCCTGGCTGCTCAGATCAATGTTTCACATAACATATAACATTACATATACTCTTCTGTGGTTCAAGTACATTTTATACATTGAACTAAGTTTGGTTGTGGACTTGTTGAAACTCAGTGTTACCTACTTTCTGAGAGGGTTAAGAAGAATAAAATTCAACATGGCAACTAGTTCTTTGTGATCACCTTAAATACCAGAAATGAGTTGTGAGACCACATAAAAGGTTAGATTAAAAAGCATACTTTAGGAGCAACAGTTGGCAAAGTAACAATTAAAGCTGGGATTAGAGCTGGATATTATGTTTCCACATGCAAAAAAGTAGGCTTGCCTTGTAGTGTTCACCTTGAAACTTCCCATTGCTAACTATAATTTGATTATGAATTTAAATCCACTGTTAATATCTCTCCAGTTAGAATGAAAATTGGGGAAGATATGATAGAGATGTGGTTCATTTACATATGATAGAGTGTTATTCAGTAATAAAAAGTTAAAACATGTCATTTGTAAGAAAATGAATGAAACTAGGCATCAACATGTTAAATGACATAAGCCAGACTTAGAAAAGCAAATATCTCATGTTTTCTCATGTGTAGAATCTAATTCTAACAACAAAAAAAAATGGAAATGAAGGTAAATGGGAGACTATCGGATGGGAAGCAAGTGGGGGGAAAAGGATCAGAGAAGTAAATGATTGGAGTATATTGTACGGATGTATAGACAGATCATAGTGAAATTCATTGATTTAAAATTACAAAAAA